GCAAAGGGTGGACCGACGTCATATTGAGCCCTATGGATTAGGAGTGGGATGTCACTTACAGTAAGTTCATATGTGAGTAAAGGCAGCTAAGTGAATACTTTTGGCAATATAGTGTAGTTTTCATTATAAAAAAGGCCTTAAGATTACCACTGCATGCAATGTGTAGTTTGCCCCGAATGCACTCACAGCCACAATCATGGAGACTTTTTTTTAATATTGGAACAGTTGGAAGATATCGTGAAATTAAAAAAAAGTCAACTACAGAATTAAAGCATCAAAATGCCCATTCTGTGTTCTTCCTTTCCATTCTTCCCTCTCACCATACGCAATAAACTCCCCCAAGGTACTGTGAGATTCTTGGAAGCGCCAATTTCACTGGGGCTTACCATGATACTTAGAGTAGCTCTCCTCTTTGAGTTCAGCTTGACTTCCCCGCTTCAAGGGGTCCTGAGACTTCTTATTCAGAAGTTCAGCTGCTTCCTTCTGGGAAAGACTGGGAGGTTGTTCCGTATACTGGCCATAGAGCTGAGAGAAGAGTCATAAGTGGTCAAGACACTCCAAAGACAATATAGAACAAGACAGCCAGAGAGTGCAAAACATATAGTAATAGCTATGTCAAAATGAAGTACCTTTAATTATAATGCACAACTAAATGTAGACATGATTCCAGGTCCTCTGCCATATGTCAACCAAGTATATTTTGCTCATAATCCTGATTGGTAAATGTTCACAGCAGTACATAGATCTCATGAGGCTGTGCTTGACAACTTGAAAGTGTAAATGTGAAATGGTATGAATGTTCTGCCTGTGGCAAAAGATTTATGATAGCTCATTCATGCATAATTTTATTTCTCGCTATATAATCATTGATGAATGATGAATCTATGTTTACCAATCCCAACTCTTGAAGAGATTTTTAATCCCTGCTGGTAGATGCCTATATTCACAATCTTCCAAACTGAACAGTAGTTACACATTGTAGATACAAGATGATGAGGGACCAGACTACAGGCACTTACAATGCATAGATCAGATCTTATTTGAAAGAGCGGGGCAAGGATAATTGACTCAATCTGAAAATAACCCAGATTATTTCTAGGCGTTTATTGAATATTTAACTAGTCTAATTAATGATTGCAAGAAGGAATAATTCTAGTATTAAAAAAGTATAATTCTCCGACCATCACTTGTACAGCCCAATGATTAGGGAGGATTCTCCCTGAACTTCTTTCTAAACCCACTATGCAGCTGTGGGATTTGTTCACTCTTGTCTGATTGGTCTTTAGGCAGCATTTCTTTGCCAGGTCTCCCAAGGTCATTGCCATGTATCAGTGATTGCTAATCTTTTTCTAAAGGTGTGCCAAAATTGTGTGCGCACATGCTATCACATGTGCATGTGTGTCCACCCACCTGCACATGTGTGCATGACCCCACCTGCGCATGTGTGAGCAAACCCCCCTCGTATACATGAGTCACACACACATAGGCATACATACACGTGTGCAGGGAGGAATTTTCACCCTCCCCAAGCTCTGGAGGCTTTCTTAAAGCCTGGGGAGGGGGAAAACGGCCTCCCCCGGCCCTCCAGAGGGCCTCTAGGGGAGGCCATTTTTACCCTCCCTAGACTTCATGAAAGGCTCCGGAGCTTGGGGAGGGTGAAAAACAGGCCCAATGGGCCAACCGGAAGAACAAACTTCCGGTTGATCTGTTGGGCCTGTTTTTCGCCCTCTCTAGGCTCCGGAGCCTTTCATGAAGCCTGGGAAGGGTGAAAATGGCATCTCCCGGCCCTCCGGAAGGCCGAAAATTAGCTGGCTAGTGCGTGCATGCGCGCCAGAGCTAAAGGCTGCCGTGCCAGCAAATATGGCTCCATGTGCCACCTGTGGCACGTGTGCCATAGGTTTGCCATCATGGCCATATATCACTACTCTCTGTCTTTTCTTGTTACCTGTTAGTGTTTTGCCATCTTTATTGAGCAGCTGATATTCTGATTCTTTTTTTCCCTTTGAAGTTGCCTAAAGAAACCATTTTTGTTATTCTTAGCATCTTTTAAATAACTTCAACTCATTCTGCACTTTCACTTTCCTGACTCCAGCTCTCTAATGCTGTGTTACCTGACTGCCCTCTTCCTCTTTCAGATTCCCTTTTTATGTATCTTTTTTTGTTGTTTTCAGATCTTCACGATGCTTTTTGGATTGTCATGTAGACTCCTGCAATTCTCCATTTTTCTTCCTCAAAGGAATTGTTTGCAATTTTACTTTTACCTCCCTTAGGGATTTTTTACATCCTTGAGCTCTTTTTTCCATTAGCTTTTCCTATCACATGATTACTTTCTGAATTTATGACGTCTACTTTTGAAGTCCAAGATCTGTGTATCCGTTTTATTTTACCTTGAAATCAAGAGCAGCAGTGTGCAGCCACTTCATCACTTTACTGCTGTTTCTGTTTCCTCAATTAAGAGAAGAGAAGAGTTGGAAGGGACCTTGGAGGTCTTCTAGTCCAACCCCCTACTCAGGCAGGAAACCCTATACCATTTCAGACAAATGGTTATCCAATCTCTTCTTTAAAATCTCCAGTGTTAGAGTGTTCACAAGTTCTGAAGGCAAGCTGTTCCATTGGTTAATTGTTCTAAATGTCAGGAATTTTCTCCTTAATTCTAGATTGCTTCTCTCCTTGATTAGTTTCCGTCTTATTGCTTCTTGTTTTGCCTCATGTGCTTTGGAGAATAGCTTGACTCCCTCTTCTTTGTGGCAGCCACTTAAGATATTGGAACACTGCTATCATGTCTCCCCTAGTCCTTCTAATAATTAAACTAGACATACCCAATTCCAGCAACCGTTCTTTATATGTTTTAGCCTCCAGTCCCCTAATCACCTTTGTTTCTCTTCTTTGCACTCTTTCTAGAGTCTCAATATCTTTTTTTTATATCATGGCAACCAGGGGTGGGTTCCAGCAGGCACTACTGCCAGTTCGCTTGTGGGTGCGCTACAAAGAAAATAAATAAAAATTGTTCTGCGCATGCGCAGAAGTGAAACACAAGATGCCATAGGTGCCACCGCCCGGAGAACTGGTTTGGGGGCGTGGCAGGCCTGGGGTGCAATCCAGGCCGCCAAACCACTACTGGTTTGGGCGAACCAGTCCAAACCAGTCCAAACCGGTAGGAATCCACCACTGATGGCAACCAAAACTGGATACAGTATTCCAAGTGTGACCTTACCAAGGCCTTATAAAGTGGTATTAACACTTCACATGATCTTGATTCTGTCTCTCTTTTTATGTAGCCTAGAATTGTGTTGGCTTTTTTGGCCACTGCAGCAAACTCCTGGCTCATATTTAAGTGATTGTCCACTAGAACTCCAAGATTCCTCTCACAGATACTACTATTGAGCAAGGTACTGTGTATTACTGTACAGTGCATCTGGTTTTCTTCCCTAAGTGTAGAACCTTACTTTTTTCACCATTGAATTTCATTTTGTTAGTTAATTAAATCCTCCCTTTTTTGTTAGACAATTAAATCCTCCCTGTTAATAAATTATTTCTGAAATGTATATGCTGCCTATCTCATTGCCTCCCTTAGCCCTCTAAAATAGAACAGTATCAGAAAGACAAATCAAGGAATTTGCTAGAAGGACTGGGCTTGGCAAAATCTTAGGGTACTGCATATTTGCATATTTGCAATTTCATGGCTCTTTGACAGATTTGCAATATGGTTTCAGAAGGCATTATTAACATCATATGCTTAGCTGAGATTGCAATATTGTAACAGTATTTTTTAACAGGCGGTGTAACTCCTGTTGTTTCTATTTGTTTTGAACAAGTTTGAATCTTTCAGTTGCTATGTTCTAGCCAGAGACATCATCCAACCAGGTCAAAAAAATAAATATTTTTATTTATTTAATTTATATTAAATTTAGAGCTTTAGAGAGGGATATCATCACTATGCTGATAGCAGCCAGCTATACTGTTCCCACCATCTAATTCTAAGGAAGCAATCGGTATTTTATACTATTTCAGTAATAGATGGGATGAAATGGGACAACCTGAAACTAAGTCCAGACATGTTGAAGATGCTGCTGGTAAAGAAAATCCCTGACTTGGGTGTTAGATGAAGCCTGTTTGGGAAACAGCAAGTTCATAGTTTGAGAGTACTTCTTGAACCTCACCTGTCAAAGGATCGGTTGATGGTAACTGTTGTGAGGAACTTATCCATGCAATTCCAGCTAGTGTGCAAACTGCAATCATTCCCGAGCCAGTCAGATTTTGTCAGAGCAGTTATCCAGGACTTGGTTACAACATGCCTGGTCCATTTCAGTGAACTTTATGTGTGGCTGCCCTTGAAAATTCTTCAGAAATTGCAGATTCTGCCAAACGTAATGGCTAGGCTTTCTACTAATGTAAACAACAGAGACCATATGATTGCCCTGCATTGACTGCCAGTTGCCTACTGGATACAATTTAAGATGTTAGTGTCACTCTTTAAATCTGTAAAGAACTCAAAGCAGCCTTACTACTGGTGGAGCAGCCTTTCTCAAAAGTCAATCAGTTAATGACTTAATGGGGAGAATAAAGGAATCTTGGATCTATTATTCTGCAGGAAGGAAACAGCTGCAAAATAAAATGACCCACAGAAAAAAGGGGAGAGCTCCATAGCCCACCATTCTTCCATTGAAATTGCTCTTTCTATGAATGAGCAATAGGGGGGGGGGGGAACCTAACTGTCTCTCAAACATCATTCAATTTATTTTTCAGCCACAAGCTGACTTACACTGTCTACTCCTTGGAGAAAAGTGAGATTTTAACTGGGTGAAAAATCAATAAAAGCACTTCAACAGAGACTGATTTTTTCCTTCAGAAAAAATAGTTCCAGCGCTCTTCAAGTCACAACCAACAGATTTAGCTCCAACTCTGTAATAGTCAACGTTTATGCACAATCTACCTCCTATGGCAGTGTTGCTCAACCTTGGCAGCATGAAGATGTGAGGACTTCAACTCCCAGAATTCCCCAGTGAATAGGTTGAAGTCCACATATCTTCAAGCTGCTAAAGTTGAGAAACAGCATCTTAATGGTTTAAGCGAGATTTTAACTACAATGAAATAAAAAGAGAGAAACAGGGCAAGAGAAATGCCTTTTCTGGGAAAAGGAGGCTTTGATGTCCTAGCCTCACTTTTTTTTTCATTTAACTTTTGTTACTGCAAAAATAAAGAAGATACAATACGCTCAGCCCAGCTTGCAGCACAGGTGAAAATATGAACAAAATGAGTTTGTGATCCAGGTTGGAAAAAAGACAAGGGCAAACCATTTCTATGTGATTCCACAAAGCAAAATGGATGGTTCCAGGCATCTGTTGGAGTCTGAGCAAAAATCAAGGGAGACTGTATCTATTTTTAAGTCTTGTTTGAAGTAGCATCTTGGGTCAAGAAAGTTCTACTCCACTTTCCTGTTTTTTTAAAATAACAAATACAACCTGTGGCCAATCAAATTTCTGACTGATGATATCTTTCTTCTCTCTGTGAGTGTTGGGGGCTGGGGAATTTGTTTGAGAACACCCAGGCCTCGATCACATGCCCTTCAGTAATCCAGCATAGGTTATTTGAATGCTCACTTGAAGTTCATCTTCCTGCGTATCTCAAGATCTTAAGAATTCACACCTCCAACATGTTGAACCCTTCTTGCTCCCTGAACACACATGCTCTCCAAGGCCCTAAGGAGGGAGGAAAATGGGCAATGCTTGGATCAGCAGAACAAGAGACTGCGTCCACAGCAGAAATGGCTGCTGTTCCTGCAAAGCATCCCAGGGAGACTGTTGCCCCTCCTCTAAAGAATGGGAAGGGAACAGCTAAATGTCAGCAAAGATGAAAAAATAATGCAGGTGTGATTTTGAGCACAGAAGCTCCGGGTAGTTAAAACAGTCACATATGTACATTGCTTTTGCTTTGCTCTTTTTCCTGAGAATATTCTTTAAGAATAAAAAAAAATATTAAAACTCCTGACAGAGACTTTAATATGCAATTTGGATAGTAATGAATATACATCTATGTATCCTCATTTACAAAAGTTTCCAGCCCTTTTCTATACACCAGAAACGCCATAAATGTAGATAGCTGACATTACTCTAATAGTTAATTTAATGTCAGGCTCTATGTTTTGAAACATAGTAATGTGCTCTCACAAATATTTCCTTGATGAATGTAGGAGATATTTTGGTGCAACTGTATAACTCTCATACTAGAAGTGCATACTGGCTTAGACCACGTGTACATACCCACAGCCCCACACATGAAACATACAATTAACAGAAGTGCATATTCCTAAAGTTTATTTTTTCATGACACCCTCTGTGATTATAGCAGCTTATCCTAAAGTGTAAACCATTTTTAAAATTCATTTAATCAAATTTACATAGCTGTCTGCTCACAAAAAGCAACTCTAGGTGATGCTAAACAATTGAATAAAAACAACAGACACAAAGATACAATACCCATATTAAAACATAAATATTATCATGCAAACTGTACATGAATTAATAAGCTAATCATGTTTTCTTTTTAACTACTTAAAAATGTTTAATAACATTTAATCACTCATTTTTAAAAAAAAATTAAAGTATTTTTAAGCTGTTGCTTACCAAATGTCATAATATTTTACTAGATAAAACAATAAGAATAAATGAATATTATAATGTATTTCTTTAGAATAATAAGAAAGCTGATGAAACATATTCAGTAAAAACCTATTACAAGCAACCACATAAATCAAAGGCCTTCTCAAAAAATAGTGGTCTTCAACGCTCTCTGGAAGAAAAAAGCATTAAGGCAGATAAACGAACTTCTCAGAATATTGCAGTTCAAAAGTATTTGTGCAGCCACAGAGAAGACCATGTAATTCATAGATGCCAAGGTGTTTTGCCCATGACGTCCAATATAAATATGATGTTATTAGAAAATCAGAAATGTTAGGGAAGAGTTTCATACAAGAACAAAACCTATTCCCTGAGATACTTAGCACTCAAGCATTTTAGCAGTTTTATTCTAACAGTTTTCTAACAGTTTTATTGTCTTTTAAGGTACCATATCTGAGATACTGTTCATGAAATGCAGTCTCTTTTTTTGTGGAGTCCTCGATGATCTCTGAGCTTGGTTGTTTGCTTGCAGACATTTGCTTGCAAATGTTTCATTACCCAGCTAGGCACTGATGATGTTACCTAGCTGGGTAAAGAAACATCTGCAACCAAACAACCAAGCTCAGAGTCAACCAAGGACTCCACAGTTCAACCCTAAGCAATATTCTCTTCTATTAGAATCATTATCTCACGTAATAGAAAATTTAATAGTGAAATCTGGTGTGCAATTTTTCCCACACATTGAATTTTGGAAAATGAAGCTCAAGATATCATTTCCCATGAACTGCACAAGGTTCTTCTGTCTG